GTACCAAGCTGCTTTGCCTACTTATACAACAATTTAAACTAACTATGAACTAACCAAAATAACCAAGAAAATTTAGCTGAACTGCATCTTGTTTCAAGACAAGATTGTTTCTAGACGGGAAACCATAACAGAGCCTGCGGAGAAGTGCAAGGTTACATTAAGGAAGATGTTTGGAGAGCTGTAGCCTGTAAGAATGATTGCTCCAACTTCAGTTTAAACAGGTAAATAACATAATATTTCTCAGTAAATAATCTCACAAACTCAAAATTTCCATCAACCTGGAGGGTCCAAACAGACAAATAACTAACAATAAATTAGCATACGATGCTATCAATACAAGGTAGTTTGGCACTTTCCCTAACAAAATTGTTTCAGATGACTTCACTGAAGAGTTATACGACCTTCCTGTGTGTCAAATAACAGGAACTGCTGTGGCATGCAATCTGACAATTAGAAAATTTGTAACATTGTTATTTTACTGATCAGGAATTCAGGACTGTTTACTGAACATCTGCAACGCTGCTTCTTTTACTCCATTTGTGGCAACAATGGGGCACTAGAGTGCCCAACACTTTTTTATTTAAACAAAGAGAAAACCAAAAGATATTAACAGTAACAAATTAACAGAAGACTAAAAATTAATATAGAATTTCTGAACACTTGGTAATATTCAATATCCATCTTACATTTTGGTAGTTTTCATAGTTTTCATATATAAATGCATAAGAGAACAACAAAAAGAAATCAAAAGAACATCTAAATATCTAATAACAGCAAAGGCTATTCCTACTACTCAAAGTTTCTCAGCGCCATTCTATGTTCATCATCTGTTATATGAAGTGCAAGTCGTAACTTTTTCATCTTCAGTTCTTCTTCCCAACTAACACCTGACCAGCATGTCGATAGGCATGTAGCTCTGATCCATGGACATCTAGATCTCTTTTGAATTCCGCATTTGCAAATGAGGGATTTGGATGCAGAGGAGCTGATGATGATGCCTTAATCTTCTTAGCAGTCACAGCATT